TTTCACAAGTAGAAATTAAATATCAAAATCTAAAATTTCAAAAATTAGAATTATAGACATTGACACTTGTTTACGATGTATATAATAATGCCTGATTGTACTACGAAAAAATTTACTTAACTCATTTATGCTCTGATTCATCAAGCTAAGAAGCAGTACAATGGGACATTTTGAAGGTAGCGCGAGTTCCAGCGTGTAGAATACATATAAGAAAAAAATCCCGTAAAAGGGTCAGAGTCCACAACGGATCAGTAGTACCTACGCTTGCTAATAAGTTTATAGCTGAACGCTTGATAATCCACTGACAAATTACACAAATTTTAATATATTAAACGACAAGGAGGCGGAAGCAGAAGGAGGACGACCTAGTTGAAAAAATCGGAGAGAATAATGGCGAGTTGGCGAAAGTAGAATGTGTGCGACGCGATTGAAAATATCGGAGAGAGTAAGGACGAGTCGGCGAAAGTAAAAAGAGGACGACGTAGTTGAATATATCGTAGAGAATAACTACGATCGACGAAAATAAAAGTAAGCCCACCCCATCGAGTATATCGTAGAAAATAACTAGGAGGCCACATGATAAGAAGGTTCTTGTTCCATGACGATTGTACCATAAAGAAGAACGTTGCTGTTGTAAATTGTGTCGCGTAGTTGCGTTGGGTGACTTACCGTACAAATGCGACAATTGCTTGTACGCTTCTAAGAAGCAATTTTTCTTCAGAATATGTAGCGCACGATATCTACTCTGTATTTACACATTCTACCATACGCTTTACTAGGCATGGACCAATTAGAACCCGGTGGCGCTAGTATCTACACAAGAAAGAATTGATTGTGGCGCCACCGGACACCAATTTTTCTATGGCCAGTCTTTACACATTCTACTACACGTCTTTACACATTACTCTTAACAGTCCAATGTAACCTTGTCGGTAATGCTTTTGATCACACAATATATGAACAGTAGCTACGCTAGTTCAAAACCCGATCGCGAAAGGTAATTACTAATTATTATATAACGAGACATTGAGCACAATATTTTATTCATCATACTTATATACTTGACTATAATCGGTATCATACAAGTTATAAATGTTTTTCTCCAAATCGGTATCCCTGGTTTGAAAAATTTTTTTTAGTTCTCAAAAAAGTAACATCATATTTGTCCTCTCCGATCCCAAAATGTCTTCGGTAGATTTTTACAAAAAAAACTGTTTTTTACAAAAAAGTCGCCCTTTGTATAAAAAACTAATCCATGCAAACATTTAAAACAAATAACGCCAGATTCTAGTTCATCGACCCAAATAACTCCTTAGTGATATTTTATTAAAAAAAACTTTTTTGTAAAAAAATGGTCCTTTGTCTCAAAAAAGTTTTCTACAAAAAATTTCGAGAAGCTAACACCAAATTTGAATTCCTGGACCTTAAAAACCCTTTGGTAAAATTTTATGAAAAAAAATTTTTTTTGTAAAAAATTGGGCCTTTGTCTCAAAAAAACTTTTTTTATGAAAAACTTCCAAAAAATAACATCAGATTCGAAGTCTCCGCATCGAAATACATCTATAAATGTCTTTTCGGAAAAATCGATTTTCAATGTTTTTTTGACCCTGCGGACATACAAGCAAGCAAGCAAACAATTTATGTTTCTAAGACTCTTCTCTACGAGAAAGAGAATAAACAATGCAGCATATACCACCTTGAAACGGACTTTGTGTCCAAATAGTGAGCAGTTCTCCTATATTCATCTCGAACCAATATCATGTCCGTGAATCCATTTGTTTTCTCCTTGAGTATTCAATCGAAGATATTCAGATGTCGATAGCATCATCAATGAAAATGACCCTAGATCATCATATGTAACACAGCTCACTTCATTCGTAATTCAAACCAACTACTAGTGTTCGATAACTCCTGTCGTTTCATTGAAGTACAGTATGCAAAGTCCAGCGTATCAAATGGACATAAACTGGTTCTTCATTATCTGATTCTTTTTCCATCATTTCTGAAAAGAGGACAATGACTGAATTCCGCGCCATCAGATAGTATAGTCCAACACCTCCTTTATAGTCACCACGATTATAACCGAATGCGTTTGATAACTCATATGCTAACTTTGTTTTCGAAGTCGAGAAGAGAATGTTTCAAAAGCTTTTTGGATAGTGTTCAATGAATCATTCTCGATGAATAATTGCAGAAAACATCAAGCATGCATTTCTGCTTCGCCATTAGATGAAAATCGAAAAAACTTCTTACCTGCTTTACATGTACGCTATCATTACAAGTTGAGAAGTAATTCATATGGTAAATATTTCTATATTTGCTCTCTCATACTTTTTTAGGCTTGTAATCATGTTCTATACTACATAACGATCACATCGATTGAAGATCAGCATCTACTCAACTTCGGGTACTCCGAAGAAACATCACTGATACACGTGATTTTTATATTGCCGAACTTGATGTTCAATCCTTCTCCTATAAATAAATAGGCGTACAAACGTTACTCAATATTATATTCATATTTTTTTTCTATTGATAACATTTTTCTAAGTTTTAAAACACGTTCAAAGAGTATGTGCAGTGTAACAAAAATGATATACTGAATACATTGAATCGAAGACCGACGAATATTTTATTTATAGTTCCTCAAGTTTATCAAGTGGATCCTTATTTGTTTTATAAGATGATAGTGACAATTATCAGCTGGATTCATGTGTCTCACTCCTTAATAGTACAGTGAATATAGGAACCAATATACCGGGCGTACCAAAAGTTTTGCGACACTTTTTATGATCCAAGAAAATTTTTGTGGGGTCAGCGTTAAGTATCTGCTTGATCGACAGTGTCCCCACGCAATAAAATTAACTGCACATTGCTTACTGTTTCTTATATACGTATTTTGACATTTGAAAGAGATATCTGTCTAATCCTTCTTTCAAAATTAGCGCCATGAAAAGCTCTTTTAGAGCTATACCAAGCAATCACAAATACTATGGCATCTGTTTTGCTTTGCGTTCTCAAAATAAAAAAGTACACATTTCACGGTCCCATTTTTTATGGTATGCTTCAATTTTATTTCCAAGATATTTTAGTCTCTAGAAATGATAGAATATGAATTCTGTTTATACTAGATGTGCCGTCAAAAGAGCTGCAAAAACAAGTGAAAAAAAACTCATGCGAGCTTATACGTATACGTTGA